GCGATACCTTTGTGAGAAAAGACAAGATGTTTAAAGACGAACAATGAAGCGAGCAAGTGTGAAAATGAAAGTGAACAGAGACTAGGGACTGTGAACAGAGCCCAGTTTTGTAGCCTGCGCGGGAGTAAAGTTGTTCGACTTAGCTAAGATCAACAGATCAAACAGATCAAATGAAAGCTGTGAGGTTCTGGTGCCTATCACGAGATTTTCTTGATGCAAGGCATGGGCAGACATTTGTTGAAGCCTTGCATGAAGTGCCCTCCAATGCTCGAGGTGATGAGATGGCTGAGAAAACTCAGATCATGGGATCAACACCAGTGGAGGAGGAGCCTTTGTACGGCTTGACATACCTGCCCCGCAAGTTCAAGGCTGGTGCGACTGTGACATTCTGACTATAACCGTGCTGCATTTGTTACACCCACACACACACACACACACGTGTGTGTGTTCCAGGTGGCTGTCGCAATTCCCCCGAGCAATGATGTGGACTTGTTTGCTCATTGCGCAGGTGCTAGCTTTTGGAATCAACCAAGCGTAAGAGGCTGAGGGATTTACATGGTGAACTGTATATTTGTTTCACAGGCTTTATCGCCATCATTGAGAACGGGAAGCTCTTAGGCTGTCTGCCAGTTGGAATTGACGGGCAGCTTTTTGCACGGGAGAAAGGCGCACAGTGTTCTTGTCTTGTTTCACAGGCTTCAACGTGGCCGTTGGTGGTGGTTTGGGATTTACCCACAACAACCAGAAGACCCATCCCAGATTGGCAGATGTGATTGGCGACTGAGAAAGCATTCTTGCCAGTGTGTGCTGCTGCTGCTGCTGCTGCTGCTGCTGCTATCAGACTTGCAGACTTTTGAATCTCCTCGCCACCCGCAGTCAACTACAGCAAACCACTGCTGAGCTCAGGCTTTTGCAAGCCTGGTCAAGCGTGACTTGGCTCTAGGCACATTGATCAGTATCCCTGATGAAACCGTAGTCTTCAGGCACTGAAATCATGACTTTCCTGCATAGCAGCTCATTTAGTGTATGGCCGGTGGAAAGACTCTTTGCGTAAGGAAATATGTGTGCGAGTGCATCCTCACTGTTGCACGCGATTTCGGCGATCGCACCTTGGCCAGCAGATGCATCACGCTGAATTGAGTTAAAGGCACCAACATTCTAGGTCCTAGGTGTTCTCGACCGTGTTCACACCTTCCTTGTGTGGTGTTTCATCCCTTCGTAGTTGTACTGCCAAGTGACTCAGTAATAGTTTTGTAGTTCTTTGTGTTGCATTGTTTTTGTTTTTTTTTGCATGTCTTGGACAGGTACTGGCCGCAAGCATGCTCGGGTGAAGTACACCGTGGAAGATTACGGTCCCGCTTGGTTCAAGGACACATGCTGAAGACAGAATTGAAGGTTGCCATTGCTATTAGGTTGGAGGCCATTGCTCTTACTCTCGATCCTTCAGGAGCAGGTGGAGGAACGCCTTGGCTATCCTCTTGAAGCAGTCAAGAGCTCATGATCCTTTCTTTTCACTGCCAAGTTTCAATGATTCTGCATGAATAGTTTCATGCAGGCAAAGCCTTACACCTTGGAGCACCGTGGAGACATGCATGGCTCTGCCATCCAATTTGTCTCATGCTGGTTTGGTAATTGTTGCCCAGAATTGTGTTTTTCAGTGAAAATGGTAGATTGGCAGCACATCCCTCATGACACTCACATGGGAGCAGCAATTGAGCATGGCAGGTTGGGTGAAAGCCAACGATGGAACTTGGAGCTGTGGCCTTTTGATTCCAATTGGTCGAGTCAAGGAGATTCGCTTAGCGAGTCGAGTCAAGAACGGGAGAAATTTGGATCTTGCGAGGAGAGCTCCCGGGTGTGCATTCGCAAGATCGCTGAGTTGCTGAAGGGTGAGGCGTGTTGGTCTAAAGGAAGGTAAAAACTTTTGAAGCCCGAGTGGCATGGGGGCCCCCTGAATTAAGTAGGTGCCTACAGTGCCTACTTAATTAATTAAGGGACTCGCTACTACTAGCAATAGGAATCTCCTAGCTAGGACGCAGGATACCGCACTATATAATGATTTGGTTCCTAGATTTTTAGGGGGAAAACATATTTTCAATACACGTACTTCAGTTCTCCCTTACATTCGTTTTTTGAAGCTTTGTGGATTCAGTGCTCATGCCATATGTTGATCCTTTTTGGGGAGTTCGGACAAATTTCAGTTGTCGTGTTCCTTTGTGGATCCAGTAGTGCTCGAGCCAAATTGTCTGAAACAGGGTGGCTTCCGCATGACCTGCAACCAGTCTCTCGTCTTGGAGAACATCTCTGAGGCAAGGATTCACTGCCAAGAATGACTAAACCCCAAGCGCTTTTGTTCTCCACAACAGGCCAAGAAACCGATGGTGCAGAAGCTCCTGGATGAGTACAAGGTGATGCACAGCAAGGAGAAGTGTAAGCATCTTCCATTCACTGTGCAAGTCGTGCCACTAGTTCAATAGGGAAGCTTGGACTCTGAGCAGGAGACAACTGTGAGTGGACTGCGCCGCAACATGGTAGCATGTACCTTGCCCAGCCCAGACGTGAAGCTGCAGTATTAGATGTGAAACAACGACTGACGAGGAAGCAACTATTCAAACTATTCATTCCTTTGCAGGCGTTGCCTTGCCAACTTGTCCTTTGGCCTTCGCAGAGGCACTGATGGCATGTCTTCCCGAATCGGGCTCTGAACACCGTGTCAGTCTGCTCCAGTCTCAAGACACCAGGCAGAGCGCTACCTGCCTACCTTGGTGGAGCGCTTGGAGGCTGTTGCTGACAAATGCGGCATTCAACAGGAGCCAAAAAGGAAAAGTACTTTTTTAAAAGCTGATGTTTTTTGTAGAAGACTCATTTGATGGCTGCTCGTGAATCTCTCCCTCTCTCTCTATATGTATCTTTCTCTTTCTGTCATTTTGTGTTGTTTTGGACAGTGTTGGCTGGAGGACGATATCGTTATCCGAATGACAGGATGCCCCAACTCATGCGGAAGGTGTGCAGCTGTCATTGCAATGCCATTTATAGAGTTGCAGTGCAGCTTGGTTCTTCAGTTGTGATTGTCCACAGTAGTTGGACATTATGTTTAGGCTAGCTAAGGATGGTCCCTTCTCTGCTGCCAGCTCATGCCCTTGCTTCAATTTCAGTCTGAAACTCACAACCTTCCGCTTGACAGGCCGTCCATGGCAGAGATTGGCTTTATCGGCAAGGCCAGCTGCAAATTTCAGAGTTTGCTGCTTCATATGCATAGGGTATGTATGCAACAGTATATATATATATGTATAACTGATGCTGTGTTGGATGTTTTCAGGCCCCTGGTACCTACAACATGTACATGGGCTTCGGCCTCAGTTTCTGGTTGCTTTCTGAATCCACCAGATTTGCGGCTTGGGAAGACCATGAGTCAGGTGCTGATTTCGTGGGCAAGCGCTTGAACACCCTCTACGCTGAATCCGTGAGCGAGGCTGAACATTTTGAATGATAAAAGGACGATTGCAGTGTGGACGGGCCAACTTCAGGATGAAATCATCAAGATTCTTACTCCAATCTTTGGCCAATACGCCAAGGCACGTTTGACCAGATGTTTGGATGGACGTGTTGGCAATTCAGTTTGCATTTGCCGTACTATTTTTTTGCAAGGAAAAGGAGAAGTCCGAGCGCTTTGGTGACTTTGTGGTTCGCAAAGGAATCATTAAAGAGACCCTTGGAGTCACTTGCAATGTGTTCAAAAGTCCTTGGTTCAGTTCCGTCATGAGCCCCTAGTAGCGTCCTTGCTCCCAGTAGCGATGCCAGGAGCCCC